TTCTCCTCAGACCCTTCTCCTGTCCACTCTGTGGTCTGGTCCAGTTCCACCCAAGGGTGAGTCTCAAATAAAGCCTCGTTTAGCAGTCTTTTTAAATCTGCCTCCTTTGGTCGTCACCCGCCTTGCCTGATCTCACCAMCCCTTTTTAAATAAACCCTGCTTCATAAAAAAAGAAGAAACCTTGGTGTAGTTGTTGTGACCTTCTGAAGGTCACCATTGAAAGGGTCATCCAAGCAGTCATGGAATTATTTGGTTATAAAAATGATTGTTGGCACATCCTTGGCAATATCTAAATTGAATAATAGTACCAGGTAAATCATAGATGGGAATAAAGCTTGTGTATCATCATGTGTAATCAATAATGATTTAATTCTCTTGAGAAAAAAATATCAATAGTTTTCTATACATCAGTAATAAATCTGCTAGGAAATCTGGAAAACTTTTTCATCCACAATAACTTACAAAACAACAAAACTTGGGAATAATTCTAGTCAAGGAGGTGAAAGACTTCTCTCTTTTTCCCCTACATTTTTTATTYGTGCATTATAGTTGTACAAACTGATGGGTTTTGTTGTGACATATTTGTACATGCACACAATAAACACTTCTATGATGAAAACTATAGAACACTGAAGAATGAAATTTGAAGAAGACCTTAGAAGATGAAATACCCTCCTTTCATGTTCTTGAATAGACAAAATTAATAATTGCTAAATTGACTATATTACCAAAAATGATGTACAGATTCAGTGCAATCTCCACCAAAATACCAATGAAATTCTCCACAGAACTAGAAAAAAAGTTCCTAAAATTCATATAGAAGAATAAAAGACCAAGAATAGCCAAAACAATACTGAGCAAGAAGAATGATGCTGGAGGCATCACAATGCCTGATCTCAGATTATACTAGAGCCATAGTAACAAAACAACATGGTGGTGGCATCAAAACAGACATTAGACCAGTGGAATAGATGACAAAGACAAACCCACATAGGTACAATTATCTGATACTCTGACAAAGTTACCAAAATATACACTGAAGAAAGGATAGCCTTTTTAACAAATGGTGGATATCCATATGTAGAAGAATGAAATTAGATTCCCATCTCTCACCCTGCACAAAAGTCAACTCAAAGTGGATCAAAGACCTAATAGTTAGACCAGACTTTGCAACTGCTAGAAGAAAATATAGGGTCAACACTCCCATCATATAGGTGCAGGCACCAACTTCCTTAACGAGACTCCTAAAATTCAAGAAATAAAATCAAGAATCAATAAGTAGGATGCCATCAAATTAAAAAGCTTCTGTGCAGCAAAGGAAATAAGAACATGAAAAGAGAGCCTACAGAATGGGAGAAAGTCTTCACTAGCTACTCCTCTAACAGGAGATTAATATCTAGAATATACAAAGAATCAAAACTTAACACCCCCCAAACCCAAATAACATAATTCATAACTAAACAGACATTTCTCCAGAAATACAAATAAGTGGGAAAAATGATTGACCTTTTTAGCATTGGGAAAATGCAAATCAAAACTACTTTGAGGGGCAGGGGTTGTGGTTCAGTGGTAGAGCGCTTGCCTAGCATGCGTGAGGCATTGGATTCGATTCTCAGCACCACATATAAATAAATGAATAAAACAAAGGTCCATCCACAACTATAAAATTTTTTTAAAAAACTACATTGAGATTTCATCTCACTCCAGTTAGAATGGCAGTCATCAAGAATACAAAAAATAGTMAGGTGCAATGATGCACGCCTGTAATCCCAGCATCTCAGGAGGCTGAGGTAGGAGGATCACGAGTTCAAAGCCAGCCTTAGCAAAAGTGAGGCACTAAGCGACTCAGAGAGATCCTGTCTCTAAAATACAAAATAGGGCTGGGATGTGGCTCAGTGTTTGAGCTCTGAGTTCAATCCCTGTTACCAAATAATAATAATAATAATAAATGCTGGTGAGACTGTATGTAAAAAGGTATGCTTATACATTGTTGGTGGGACTGAAAATTAGTACAAGCACTTTGGAAAGCAATATGGGTAATTTCTCAAAAGCTAAGAATAGAACCATCATCTGACCCATCTACCCTACTTCTTAGTATTTATCCAAAAGAAATAAAATCAAAATACTGGAGTGATACAGACATATCAATCTTTAAGGCAGTGCTACTTAAGATAACCAAGTTTTGGAACCCGTCCAAGTGTCCGTCAGCAGATGAATGGATAGAGAAAATATATATGCACACAATGGAGTTTTACTCRGCCATAAAGAAGTATGGAATTATGACATTTGCTGATAAATGGACAGAACTGAAGCATATTATGCTAAGTGAAATAAACCAGACACAGAAAGTCAAAGGTGGAATGTTTTCTCTTGTAAATGGAAAGTAGAGTGAAATAAGGAAAAAGAGGGGCAGGGAGATCCCATGAAAATAGAAGAGATCAGTGGAGTAGAGAAAGGGGTTGACGAGGAGGCAGGAGGAACAGAGGAATAACTACAGAGTAAAATTGACCAAATTGTCCTGTGTACATATATGAGTATACCACGGTGAATTCCACCTTTATCTATAAAGCACCAACTTAAAAAACAATAAATAAGTAAGTAGAAGGAAGACAAGTAGAGTAGAGGAATAGGAACAAGGGGAGAGAAAGTGGAGTTCTAGGGATTGACATGGAGCAAATTATGTATGAATGCATATATGAAACCCACTGTTATATGTAACTATAATGCACTAATACAAACCTTTTTTTTAAATGGGAAATTTCTCGAAGAAAAGTACTTCACATGCTGAGGATCCTTTCCCCTCATCCACTCACTCATTAGTCTATAGGGACTAATTTGTGAGCCAAAAAAAGTTTAGTAATTTGACGAATTATTTTGTTATTGGTAAGAATCTTTCAGATCTCAGATTTTAGCAATGTACAGAGTTTGAATATCTGTGGCCAATTAGCTGTTGATATCTTCCATTAGATTTTTAAAATTACAAGTATTATTCTATATATAATGCTAGACACTCAAATGAGCTGACACTAAGCATTTTCAAACTAATATTATACTAACATAGGGATTGTACCCATAAATGGATAGGTCAGGAAGGTGGGGTAATAATCTATTAAGTGATTTTCTGAGTACATATCTACCTACTTTATTTCAGGGGTGGAACCACACATTAGAACTCAAAACACTTGAATTTTACTACTTACCTGTAATAGTCGGTGCTTTGTGATTTTATATTNGAGCCACATCCCCAGGCCTTTTTTATTTTTTTAATTTCAAGACAGGATCTTAGTAAGTTGCTTAGCGCCTCAGTCAGTTACAGAGGCTAACTTCAAACTTGCAATCCGCCGCCTGTCACATCCTCCCAAGTTGCAAAAAGTCTTGATCTTCAAACTAATTTTGTAAACCTACCAATCTGTTAATTAACATTTACTTTGTAATTTATATGCAGAGCATTGTTTAGTTGCTGGAGAGAATAAAAGAAGTAGATAGATGTTCTCACTGACTGCATAGAAGACACTGTTAGGATGACTAACTCAAAATCTACATCCCATGAGCTGGGGTTGTGGCTCAGTGGTAGAGTGCTTGCTTAGCATGCATGAGGCACTGGGTTCAAGCCTCAGCACCATATAAAGATAAATAAATTGAAGATATTGTGGCCATCTACAACTAAAAAAAATTTTTTTTWAAATCTACATCCCACAGTAATCCTTGAAACCAAATTTCATGGCACTTGAGAGTAAAGGTTTTTATTGTTTATTTTTTAATAATTTCAGGTTTTTAAATAGAAATTCTTAGTCATAAATAGAATTGTTTTCAATCCATTGTATGACCTAATTTTAAAGTTGCCCTTTTTTCTCTATTTTTAGTTTAATACAGTTTTTTAGTAAAATGAAGAAGTGGATGGACATGTCAAATCTGCCACAAGAATTTCGTGAACGTATAGAAAGGCTAGAGAGAAATTTTGAAGTGTCTACTGTAATTTTTAAAAAATTTGAGCCAATATTTTTAGATATATTTCAAAATCCATATGAAGAGCTACCAAAGTTACCACGAAGTAGGAAGCAGAGGTGAGACCCATAATTCTTATGTAATTGATGTAAAGATTACTATAAAAACATGTTAGGAAAGTTTACCCTTTCAAAAGTCTGCATTTTACCAAAAGTATCCATGTGCAAAGACTTATTATTTCTTTTTAAATCCATGTATCCATAACTGGAAATTCATGGTAGTACTTTTATATGTTTTTCTATATTGTGAATGGAATTTTACATGTATTTTGACCTTAGTATATATGTATATATGCTATTTCAAAAAAATGATTCTCGGTATCAGACAAAAAACAAACACAAAAAAAAATCACATTTTTTTTTTTTTCTCTTTGTAGGAGGATTCCTTGCAGTGTTAAGGATCTCTTTAATTTCTGTTGGACACTCTTTGTTTATACTAAGGGTAAGGTGACACAGTGGTTTTATATTTCTTCTGTGAGAACTTTGGTATATTTGACATGAGAGGTATCTGGTTTTTTTTTTGTCTTTTTTTTTTCTTTTTTCTTATAAAGGTAATTTTCGTATGATTGGGGACGATTTAGTAAACTCTTATCATTTACTTCTGTGCTGCTTGGATCTGATTTTTGCCAATGCCATTATGTGCCCCAATAGACGAGACTTGCTAAATCCATCTTTTAAAGGTAAGGTCTTTTCCTTTTTTGAAAACTAATTGTTACTTTTTGGAAAAAGAGTTTTTAACACTTAACTGTTTCTGCACCCTTTTCCCCACTTCTCTTCATACTTCATCAAACCAGGTTTACCATCTGATTTCCATACTGCTGATTTCCGGGCTTCTGAAGAGCCTCTCTGCATTATTGCTGTACTATGTGAACTACATGATGGACTTTTAGTAGAAGCAAAAGGAATAAAGGAGCACTACTTTAAACCATACATCTCAAAACTCTTTGATAGGAAGGTACCGTACTTATTATTAAATGACTAAGGTGTTTAGGGTTCAGCAGCAGCCTCAAAGGAAAAGGTGTTCTCACTTTTGTAGGACTCAGGGTCAAGATTCCCCCATTTTAGTCTTTGCTGTGATGCACAGTTGCCCTCTGGTCTTTTTTTTTTTTTTTTTTAATTTTTTTTAATAGTTTTAGTTGTAGATGGACACCGTACTTTTATTTACTTTTATGTGGTGCTGAGGATGGAACCCAGTGTCTCATACATGCTAGGCAAGCCCTGTACCACTGAGCTACAACCCCAGCCCCTGCCCTCTGGTCTTGTGTGATATGACAGACTGAGCTTTTGAAAAATGTACTGTCAATTAAGCCACTGTCAGGAACAACTCTAGCAGATTCTGCTAAAAAAAAATTCTGAAGAATAGATTGTCAGAGTTGGCGTGTTTTTATTTTGTTCGATTTTTAATTTAAATATTAAGACCTTTTATATGAAAAGCAAATCAGAAACTAGGTCAATACTGTGTTAAAATTTCTACATGGCTAGCTGTCATCAAATTAAATGATGGCCACCACTTTTCGGTTAGGCAGTGTGTGTTCAGCTCTCTATTCACCTATATTGAACCCTGATTCTTGAAGGCATCTGAGTTTGCAGACTCTCATGTATAGAAATTTTTAGTGTGGTTACAGAAAATATTAATAACAATGTAGTTTTCCTTTCTCACCAGCAAGACGAACCTGTATTTCTTTTGAATCTTTTATTCACTTGAAACACTTAATCATCAGTAAATGTTAATTTCCAGTCTCATAATCAGTGATTAAGAATAGACAGCTTTCATCAGAATCACTCAGGGAGTTTGTCAGAAATACCACCTTAGCTGAGATATTAAAGTCTATCCATCTCCATTTATAACAGGTTTTCCCCTAAGTGATTCTTTTTTTTTTTTTAATGTGCATTTTAGTTGTAGGTGGACATAATACCATTATTTTATTTTTACGTGGTGCTGAGGATCGAACCCAGTGCCTTACACATGCCAGGTGAGTGCTCTATCTCTGAGCCACAGCCCCATCCCCCACTAAGTGATTTTTATATTGCTCCATTTTGGAAAGCACTGCCATAGATTAACCTCAAAGTATTTCAAGATTATTTACTTATTTACTTACCTATTTATTATTTATTTTACAGTGCTAGAGATAAAATTTGACTTTAAATTTTTAAAAACCATTTTATTTGCTTACTTAGTAGGTCTTACTGCTCCAAAAGAAATGTTTGGTAATTCTCTTTGTGGGTATGGCATATTATTGTGAAGATTTAGAGAGATTTTATGTTTTTTAAATGTTAAAAATCTTTAATTTTATTATATGATGTACAAATTTTTTTTTTCTTTACAGATTTTAAAAGGAGAATGCCTCTTGGACCTTTCCAGTTTTACTGATAATAGGTAGGTATCTAGCACTATAATGGTRTTGGGCATGTGACAGCCTGACAGTGATATCAGAGCTGTGAAAATTTGTCAAGTGAAACATTATATATCAAGGTCACCTTCAGAATCAAATTTCTTCTGTTTTAATAGCACTGAATGGTGGTATCACTAAGCCTTTCTGTTAAGTACATTTAAGAACCATTGACATTTGAAACAGTTGTACTCTGCCGAGAACCTCATGAATGAGCCCATGACTTCCATATCTGATTTTACATTCTTTCATATCAATGTTAGCAAATTCAGAATGACCACATTTCAAAGTCTCTGTTTCTTTAGTGATCAGATATTCTTTTTCTTTTTTTCTTTTAATATTTTTAGTAGTAGATGGACATAACTTTTATTTTATTTATTTATTTGCTTATTTTTTATTTTTATGTGGTGCCGAGGATCAAACCCAGTGCCTCTCACGTGCTAGGCAAGCATCCTACCACTGAGCCACAACCCAAGTTCCAAATATTTTTTTTTTCTTTACCTAGCTTCATTTAGCTTCAACTGGTTTACAGATTAAGTATATATTCTCTTTCCACACTTTTTTAAAATTAATTTATTGCAAAGTTAATAAAACCCAAGAAGTTATTAGCTTTCCCAAGCTATGAACTTAAGGATAAATCTATCCTTAAGATTAGATAATCAAGGTTGGGGATTTAGCTCAGTGGCAGAGCTCTTGCCTAACATGGAAAAGGCTCTGAGTTCAGTCATTGGCCCTGGGCGGGTGGGGGGGACTAGATAATCCATTGTGTAACTTAGTTTTATTCTAGCAGCTTAAAATAATTCTCTTTCCAGCAAAGCAGTGAACAAAGAGTATGAAGAATATGTTCTAACTGTTGGTGACTTTGATGAGAGGATCTTTTTGGGAGCAGATGCAGAAGAGGAAATTGGAACACCTCGAAAGTTCACTGGTGACACCCCATTGGGGAAACTTTCAGCACAGGCTAATGTGGAGTATAACCTTCAACAGCATTTTGAAAAAGTAATATAACTTAGCCTGATCTCAGTCTTGAATGATCTTTTTCTTTCTCTGTGTGATTCTACTAACAGCAGAAGCATCTTTCAAGTTAAATCTTGAATTTCTTCTACTAATTCATATTTCCCATGAAAGCCTTAAAAGGTAATTTTAAAAACTATGACATTTAATATTTTTACCTTGTTTCTTGCTGTTAATCATATTTTGATATTTTCCCAGCATACCTGGGTTTATCATTATATTGTGTGGTCTTTTGACATAAAGGGAAATTTATGCTTTCTTACCATTTTTTTCTTTGCTTCAGCTTAGCCTCTGTCACATTGCTTTAAAGTTTTATTTACTTTCCTACCTATGATACAAACATGCTTTTCTCTGGTTTTAACTGTATAACTCTAGAAATGATTGTTAATTCTGTATTTATGTGTGAAATGGGTAGGAAGATAAAGTCTAAGGGAAAATTCAGTCATCTAGAAGATTGAAACCTGTTTTATTCCAAACTCTACTATTAACTTTGTTTTTTAAGAACAAAAGTTTTCTTATTCAGGACAGTTGTCAAGTTGACAGTTAATATTTTTCTTAGCTTAAACACATTTTTTAACTTCTATACCTGTTTCCTCACATATAAAATTAAAATATGTGAATGTTCTGGGCTGGGGTTGTGGCTCAGTGATAGAGCACTCACCTAGCACAGGCAAGGCCCTTGGTTCAATCCTCAGCACGACATAAAAATAAATAAAATAAAGGTATTGTGTACAACTATAACTAAAAAATAAATAATTTTTAAAAATATGCATAGGTTATATTTCAAATGAGTTTTATGAAGATAAAATGTTATAGAAAGTGCTTTGAAAAAGTATTATTCAAATGTATAATTCAAACTCAGACATTGTTAGCATACTATGGCTAAAAATTTGGTGGGTAAGCAAAAAAAGCAGGAAAAGTAAGCCACTACTAAATATGAATAGTAAAGATGGTATATGTACTGAATTAAACATAATAAGGAGGAAAGTAACTTTTTAATCTCACAAGTTATTTGGTGTTTTTTTTTTTTTTTTTTTTTACAGAAAAGAACATTTGCACCTTCTACCCCACTGACAGGACGGCGATATTTACGAGAAAAAGAAGCCATTATTACTCCTGTTGCTTCAGCTACCCAAAGTGTGAGCCGTTTACAGAGTACTGTGGCTGGACTTAAAAATGCACCAAGTGAACAACTTATAAATATTTTTGAGTGAGTACCATACTATGATTTTTCTAAATGTCTTTTTAAAAATTAAATTCTTTATTCCATTCTGTTTTTAGTATAGTCAGAGATGGCGAATATACCTCTGGCACCTTTTTCTGTATCATTTTAGTCTGAAAATATCTTAACCTAAAACCAGATAGTTACCTACTAAAAATTTCATATAAATATAGTGAGGCCCCATGGTGCATGCGTGTAGTCCCAGCTACCAGGGAGGACGAAGCAGGAGGATTGCAAATTTGATGTCAGTCAGGATAAATTAGCAAGACCCTATCTTAAACTAAAAATTTTTAAGTGGGGATTTAACTCAGTGTAGAGCATTTGCCTAGCATTTATAAGTTTCTGRATTCAATCTCCAGTACTCCCCATCCCTCCCAAAAATAAATAAATAAAAATTTTTAAGAAGAGCTGAGGGGCTGGGTTATAGCTCACTCAGCAGTACAGTGCTTGCCTTACATGTGAAGCACTGGGTTGAATCCTCAGCACCACATAAAAATAAATAAAATAAAGATATTGTGTCCATCTTTTTTTTTTTTTTTTTAGTTTTAGGTGGACACAATATCTTTATCTTTATTTTTATTTTTATGTGGTGCTGAGAATTGAACCCAGTGCCTCATGCATTCCAGGCGAGCACGCTACCTCTTGAGTCACATCCCCAGCCCCTATTGTGTCCATCTTAAAAAAAAATAAAAGAAGAAGTACAACAACAACTGAGGATATAGCTTAATGGTAGAGTACTTATCTAGCATTTATCAAAAACAATAACAAAACTATGTTTATATATTTATATCAGTATATATGTGTGTATAAATATTATTTCATGGGATTATAGAATTTGAAGTATATCTTTTTTAATATTTTAGTTGTAGATGGACACAATACCTCAATTTTATTTATTTTATTTTTATTTTATATTTATTTTTTAGTTTTAGGTGGACACAATATCTTTATTTTATTTTTATGTGGTGTTGAGGATCGAACCCCATGCCTCACACATGCTAGGCAAGCACTCTGCCACTGAGCTACAGCCCCAGCCTCCCTATTTATTTTTATGTGGTGCTGAGGATCAAACCCAGTGCCCCACACATGCCAGGCAAGTGCTATTCCATTGAACCATAACCCCAGCCCCTTAAACTAATTCTTGAAAGGAGAAATGTTAGTTGTCTGGGTTTTTTCCCTGGTAATTGGGTTCCTATTATATGTTATAGATCTTGTATGCGGAATCCTAAAGAAAACATTATGAAAATAGTAAAAGGAATAGGAGAGACTTTCTGCCAACACTATACTCAATCAACAGATGAACAGCCGGGATCTCACATAGGTAAGAAAAGTGAAGTTGGCACAATATTGAAAATAGATTGTTCTCAAAATTAGAAATTCAAGATTTTTATTTTTCTGTTATTTTTTTCTCTTTCTTTTTTCCTTTTTTGCAGTGCTGGTAATTGACTCTAGGGCCTCATGTATGTGAGGCAAGTGCTCTCTTACGAGCTACACCTGCTGCCCTTAATATACCAGATTCAAGATTATGTAAATTTTATTCTTTAGTCCTTAACTAGATTGTAATAGCATGTGTTCTTCCTTTGTTTCCCTTTAGACTTTGCTATAAACAGACTAAAGCTGGCAGAAATTTTGTATTATAAAATGTTGGAGACTGTAATGGTTCAGGAAACACGAAGACTTCATGGAATGGACATGTCAGTAAGTAAATCTACTCTCAGCTACTGGCAAGAACCAAATGCCCTAGTCTGGAAACAGTGTTTTGAGAGACCCTAAAGGGATGTGGGGTCAACAGTTTATAGCAAAGTTGACCAAGATAACATTGCAATTCTGACTTTAGTTGACTTTGGCATACCTGGGGCTAGCTAGGTGTAAGCAGAAATGTGAAATATGTAAAATTTATTTTTGAAGTACCATCAGCAGTCTTTTCCTGTAGGTCCTTTAAGGTCCTTTTTATTTTTGTACTTCATTCTCAACTAGTGATAATGAACCCCACACACATACACATTCTGTTAAGCTAACTGATAATTAAAGTATTTATTTGTCCATACCTCCCAGAGATTTTTTGATTATGAAATGGTGGTATTTTTCCTTAAAAAAAAAAAAAAAAGACATGGTTTTCTTTGAACATCTATCTGACCAAGTCTGACCACTCTGTCCAGTAGTTTCATAAAAGAATTTTGCTACAATTGGGCACAGTGATACATGCCTATAATTCCAACAACTTAGGACGCTRAGGCAGGAGGATCATAAGTTCAAGGCCAGTCTCAACAATTTAGGTAGACCATTAGCAATTTATGGAGACCCTGTTTCAAAATAAAATAAAATAAAAAATGAAAGGGCTGGCGCGAYGGTGCATGCCTGTAATCTCAGTGGCTCAGGAGGCTGAGGCCGGAGGATCATGAGTTCAAAGCCTGCCTCAGCAAAAGTAAGGCACTAAGCAACTCATGTCTCTAAATAAAATACAAAAAAGGGCAGTGCCCCTGAGTTCAATCCCTGGTACMAAAAAAAAAAAAAAAAAGAATGACTTGGGTTAAATCCCCACTACCAAAAAAGGAAGAAAAAAATAGAAGTAAAAAACCATGAAAACATATTAGGTCTTAAACTCAATGGTGAAAGAGAATTTTATCTTCTCTGTGAAATATTTCCTCTTCTGAACTTTTTGTCTTAGCTTTTGTGTCATTTCACCTTCCATTTCAGTGTTTTGATTAATAAATACTCTGCTGATRAAACAATTAACTGTTATTAAAAAGAAAAAGAAACAATCCTAATGCTTTTATTTTGATGGAAATATTAAATATTTTATCATTTGTTCAGATTTCAAATCAGATTGTTATGTGCACCTCATTTAGATTTAAGATCTATCACTGAACAAAATTTGATATAAGAGGGGCTGGGGTTATAGCTCAGTGGTAGAGCGCTTGCCTAGCATGTGTGAGGCACTGGGTTCGATTCGCAGCACCACATACAAATAAATAAAAATAAAGGTCCATCAACAACTGAAAAATATATTTTTTTAAAATTAGATATAAGAAAACTAGTTTGGGAACTCAGTTTCTGTTTTTGTTTTTGTTTTTTAATGCAGTGCTGGGGATTGAATCCTGGGCCTCAAACGTGCTAGGCTCTACCACTGAGATATACCACCAGCCCAAGAATTCTGATTTTTATCTCTAATATGCTAGCATAATATATTTTGTTGTTATAGTTTTCTTTTTTAGGATGACGGAGACTAAAATTGCTGAGAAATGTTAAGCCGTGGTCTTTTTCTTCCCCAAGGTTCTTTTAGAACAGGATATATTTCATCGTTCTTTGATGGCTTGTTGTTTGGAAATTGTGCTGTTTGCTTACAGCTCACCTCGTACTTTTCCTTGGATTATTGAAGTTCTCGATTTGCAGCCATTTTATTTTTATAAGGTGAGATAATAGCAAAGTTCTTTTATAGTGTGGCACACATAAATGTTGTATTTGTCTTAGTGCTAAAGAAACACAGTTGTGATTTCTGGAAAATATTTCTAGAGGTGTTCTAATGCTTTTAGAGTGGAATGAGAACAAACTGGAGAGAATRAGGATATAAGTAAATTAAGCCAATTTCATAACTTCAGTTCTTTTTTCATCACTACTTGCAAATGTGACCTGGTACTAAGTACTTAACCTCAAAGTTTCCATATTTATAAATGAAAATCATAAACCTATTAACCAAGTATGCAATGAAGAACAAAAAACACTTTCTCCTAGAGGAAGGCAGCAAAGGTCTAAAGTTGATTATGGTGGACTGGGGGTGTAGCTCAGAGGTAGAATAGTTGCCTAGCATACACAGGACCCTGGGGTTGATCCCCAGCACTGCAAAAAAGAAAAAAGGATAAAAGGGGCCGGTGGTGAAACCAAGTAAAACAGATTGTGAAGTTGTAATAACAGGTCAGGCTTATTCCCTAAAGTTGAGCTAATTCTGTGTGAGTGAGTCTTACTTACTCTACCCTTTTTATTTTCTCTATGAGGAGTGTTAGAAAAAAAGAAACCTTCTCCAGAAAGCTTTTTTGCTTTAGAACTATTAGAAAATATTAACATTTCTCTTATAAAGTATGTCATAGCTACTGAGCTATGTCATCATAGTAACGATTAATGATATCTCATTTTCAAATTTAGGACTAATGATACTTGATATGTTTATTGGCATGATTTAGTTAATATTTAGTCATCTGTGCTACTTTCAAACTATTAATGATAAAAAAAAATTAGTTTGAAGAGTTACATATGTGTGTGAGAGAGTGTGTGTGTAGCCAGGGATCAACCCCAGAGCCTTTTGCACATGCTAAGGCAAGAGCTTTATCACCAAACTACATCTCTAGCACAGGAGTAAACATTTTGTACCTAAAGTTTGCTCGAATCAGAGTTGTAGAAAATGTACATCATGGGTAAGCTTATCTGATTGAATTATTGACTGTGATTGAGTTTAAGGTTCTTAGGGGAAATTGGTTCTGATGCTATACTTGCTTTCATGTGCATATTCAGATTTTTCCATTAGGAAATTTAGTTTTCCCCATAACCTGAGAGCGGTTTGTTTATGTTTTGTTTTGTTTTTCTGATGCTGGGGATTGAATCCAGGGCCTTGGGTACTGTACCACTGAGCCATCTGTCAACCCAACAATTTATTTTAATTTGTAACATTCGCATTTCATTTAAGAAACTAAAGCCTTTGATTCCCCCCCACCCCAGGACTCTGTGTGTGTGTGTGTGTGTGTGTGTGTGTGTGTGTGTGGTGATTGGGATCAAATTCAAGGCCTCATGCATGGTAGGCAAGTGTTCTACCACTGAGTTACACCCCCAGCCCTCAAACCTTTGTTTTTGTTTTTTTCCAATAAATAATTATATGCTTGTTGAAGAAAAACAGAAAATACACATAAATATGAATATTAAAATCACATTATAATCTAGTTATTAGTAATAATAACTATTAATATTTTTTTGTCTATACACAGATTTGTTCTAGCTATTTTCCCTTATTAAAATATAACTATAGGGCTTGGGCTGGGGCCTAGTGGAGGAGCACTTGACTAGCATGTATGAGGCACTGGGTTCGATTCTTAGCACCACGTATGAATAAATTAATAAAATGAAGGTCTATCAGCAATTTAAAAATAAAATAGAATATAGTGTATATAAGTAAAGAAGTTCCTTTTTTTTTTAAAGCAGGCCTTCTAAGTTCACTTTATTTTTCATGTGTAAAAACTATACATTTTAGTCATAGCTATCTATAGCCTGAGTCTTCTGCACAGAGACTCTGGTTTGGATTTTTATAAAATGGTCAGTGAACTCCTGATAGGGATACTTGGTGAACAMATTCTCTTTCCAGGGGACAGGGTTCAGGTGCTGAAGGTATTGGCAGTGAGAAGGCAGCCTTGGTGAAGGTGCCCAGGGTGTCCGCACAGACCCTGACTGAGACATAGCTGTTGTCAGTTCCAGCCTTCAGCAGTAGCTTCTTGGGCACATGGGCTGATGGGATGCCAGTGCCTCTGGTGCCTAGTGGTAGAGCACTGGGTACAGGGATGAGGTATACCAGCATAGAACCACAAAAGCCTGTCATCTTGCAAGGAACAATGTGAGGATGGTAATCTTGTTCCCCGCATGCCCCATTGATGTCTCCTTAAGCCACTTGATACCCAGACTGACATGGCCATTGTAGTCCCCGTGGACTAATGCATTGAACCTGAGCCTGCTTTTGTACCAGCATCACCTCTAAAACCTCATCCTTGAGGGAAATTCTCCCTGGAAAAAGTCAGTGAACTCTGATTTCTTAATGGATAGAAAGATAGATCTCAAGGGATTTGACCTTTATGTCCTTGACCAGACAGCCCAGCTTGCCTCCACAAACTTCCTGACCCTGACCCACCTGCCATGGTCTCCCATTATAGGGCTTCTGGGTCCCCTCCCTGAACCAAAGTCATTTACCATATGGTATTTGCTTGGATAGTTCATTTCTTCTGTTCTTTTGAGATATTGGGAAGAATAGTCTGTGAAAGGACAATAAACTAAAAATTAGAACTGAACTGGAAACCCAAGACCTAACTTCTACTGTTAGACTTTTGACCAGTTTTTGTAAGACATGAAAAAACAGAAATGTATGTGAAAATATTTTTATTAAAGACTACCAAAGTTTCTTTGTAGAAGAAGTGCTTGCAAGCCCAAACCAGAACTGATTGCTTGAAACCACATTGCCTTCTCAACTTTCTCCTCTCCAGGTTATTGAGGTGGTGATCCGCTCAGAGGAGGGACTCTCCAGGGACATGGTAAAACACCTAAACAGCATTGAAGAACAGATTTTGGAGAGTTTAGCATGGAGTCATAATTCTACACTATGGGAGACTCTCCAGGCTTCTGCAAACAAAGTTCCTACCTGTGAAGAAGTGAGTCAGGGCAAGGTTAATACTCCCTCCCCATCATTTAAAAGAAATTACAGGTTTATTGAGGTATATTTCTRTACCATACAACTCACCAATTTAAAGTGTACAGTGGTTTTTTGCATGTAGATATGTGCAGCCATCACCACAGTCAATTTGAGAACATATTCATCACTTAAGTAAGAAACCTATACCTTTTAGCTATCACTTCCTGTCCTGCTACCTTCTCTCTAACCAAAGCAATGCTGCTCTGCTCTCTGTTTCTATAATACACATTTGTATATTCTGTACATTTCATATAAATTGATTCATACAATGTGTCCTTGGTTACCGGTTTCTTGTTATATTTTTAAAGTTCATCCATCATGTAGCATATATCAATATTTCATTTCCTTTTTGTCAAATAATATTCTGTTATATGGATATGCCATTCTTCATTCATCCATTTGGTTGTTTCTATCTTTTGGCTCTTATTAATTATGCTGCTGTGAACATTCAGGCACAAGATTTTATGTGGGCATTATTTCAATTTTCTTGGTTGTATATCTACAAGTGGAATTGTTGGATTATGTGGTAACTGTTCAAGCTTTTGGAGAACTGTCAGACTGGTTTCTAAAGTGTCTACAACAATTTTGTTCCCATCGTCAGTGTGCAAAGATTACAGTTGCTTCATATCCCTGCCAATGCTTGTTAGTATTTGTGTTTCTTTTTTTAAATATTTTTAGTTGTAGATGGACAAGATACCTTTATTTTATTTATTTGTTTATTTTTATATGGTGCTGAGGATCAAACCCAGTCCTCATACATGSTAGGCACTGGGTGCTCTACTACTGAGCTACAACCCCAGCCCAGTATCTGTGTTTCTAGTTATAGCCTTCTTATGAATTGGTATTTCATTGTGGTTTTGATTTGCATTTCCTGCAAAACTTATCTCCCATTCTCTAGGTTGACTTTTCACTTTCTTAATATGGTTATCTATTGGAACACAAACATTTTTCATTTTTTTATACCTTTATTTAATTAATTTATTTATTTTTATGTGGTTCTGAGGATCGAACCCAGGACCTTGCACATGCAAGGTGAGCACTCTACTGCTGATCCATAACCCCAGCCCCACATTTTTCATTTTGATGATGCCCAATTTATCTTTTTTTTCCTGTATTGCTTGTGTTTTTAGTGTCATATCTAGGAAACCAATTAATCTCATCATTTAAAATTTTTCAAATGTTGAAAGGTTTCATTAGTGATATTTAGAATTAAAAAATCAAAAGTTTGTGCCAAAAGTTCTATGAAATCACATCTGACAGCTCCAATTTATATGAAAAGGAGTTTTTCCTTCCATCTCTGTTATTCTTTTGTAATTATCATCTTTTGATCTCTCTTTGCTTTTCTGTGTCTCCTTTTACTTCACTAAACTTCTTGATTCTTTCCTAATCCAAACTAACGGAAGAAGGATCCAAGACCAGGAAGAATTGAAGATAAGATAGTTTCTTAATTTCTCTTTCAGCTAGGCATGATGGAAGTCACTTGTAATCCTAGTGATTCAGGAGGCTGAACCATATTTCCAGCCCTTTCTATTTTTTATTTTGAGACATGATTTTACTGAGTTGCTTAGGGCCTCACTTAGATGCTGAGACTGGCCTCAAGCTTGTGATCCTCCTGCCTTGGCCTCCCAAGCTGCTGGAGTTACAAACATGAGCCATTGGTACTTCTTTGCCTTTTGCAGGAAACTATGATTAATTGGTCAACTTTTGATATTCATCAGTATATGTCCATTAGAAAGTGAAAAAAAAAAAAAGCTGTGAACTTAAAGGAAACATACTTGGATCAAAGCCATTCCTCTTATTACTTAGTATGATTATGGGCAGATTTCACATTCTGAATCTCAATTGTCTCATCCCTAAATAAAAGATGAGAGTGTCTACTTCATAGGTTTACTCACAGTAGCCATTAGTTTACATAGATAAATTTTAAAATTCAAACAAGCTCATATTTAACGTTAATTGAGCACTTTATGAAAGTTGTTACATTTTGTAAAGAAATAAGGAAAGGGAAATAAAACAGTAAAAAGAAGTTCAAGAAAACTTTTTTCTGTGATTTAATCAGTGGGTTTGGGTTTATCTGTATATAAGGCAAAGGGTTTTTGTTTTCTACAGGTTATATTCCCAAATAACTTTGAAACAGGAAATGGAGGAAATGTACAAGGACATCTTCCCATGATGCCAATGTCTCCTATAATGCATCCAAGAGTCAAGGAAGTTCGGACTGACAGTGGAAGTCTTCGAAGGGGTAGGTTCAGCATTGGTAAAATACTGGAAAAATTACAAAGATCATTTTTGTCAGAGAAAACTTCAAGTCTTGATAGTATGTAATTCAGAAATCTAGTTTATTTTGGGGGGAAGATGGGGTAGGTTAACAGGGATTGGACTCAGGAGCACTAAACCATATCCCCAGCCTTATTTTGTATTTTATTTAGAAACAGAGTCTCACTGAGCTGCGTAGTGCCTCACCATTGCTGAGGCTGGCTTTGAACTCAAAATCCTCCTGCCTCAGCCTCCCAAGCCCCTGGGATTACAGGCATGCACCACTGTGCCCAGCAAAAATCTAGTTTCTTCATCAGGATATGAGAAGCGGCTTTGTGCTTCTAACATCTTTATGATGTTATTTTTTTAATATTATAGTAAAGTAAAAGTTTTTTTAATGATTTTTTTTTTTCTTTTAATATTGTTTAAGTTGTCAGTAGAACTTTATTTCACTTATTGATAACGCAGTGCTAAGAATTGAACCTAGTGCCTCACATCTGCTAGGCAAGCGCTCTGCCACTGAGACACAGCCCCAGCCCTAAAATAAAARGGTTTCTAATCTGATTTTTTTWAAATATTTTTTAAGTTGTAGATGGATACTATACCTTTATTTTATTTTTTTTTAATATTTATGTGGTACTGAGGATCGAACCCAGTGCCTCACGCATGCTAGGCAAGCACTCTACCACTGAGCCACAACCCCAGCCCTAATCTGATTTTGAATATGATCTTTTTAAAAAATTTCAGTATCTGCTGAGCACAGATATCGCAATTTTTAAATTTCAGGCACATGCCTATAGTCCTAAAAATGAAAGAGTCTAAGGCAGAAGAATCGCAGGTTCAAGGCCAGCCTTGGCAACTTGGTGAGACCCTGAATCAAAATAAAACTTTTCTTAAAAAAAAACTTGGGGGGCTGGGGTTGTAGCTCAGTGGTAGAGCACTTGCCTCACACGCATAAGGCCCTGGGTTCGATCCTCAGCACCACATAAAAAAATAAACAAAATAAAAATAAAGATTAAAAAAAAAAAAAAGACTGGGAGTGTAGCTCAGTGGTAGAGCACCCCTGGATTCAGTCTCCAATACCACAAAAAATAAGTGCAATACACTATAATATAATTGTAGTATTAATTATTGTAGAAGTAGTATTTTGGACTTTTAATAAACATATATGACTTTTCCTAAAATCATATAAAATAAATCATAAAGTCATAAAAAATGCTAATGGGAAAGAATTTAAATAAACTTATACCTACTTTTCCAAATTTGACAAAAGTTATATTCTTCCTTTGTCTATGTATGTTTCGGTAGAAAGATAAATATTTAAGCAAAACTACTCATATTCTCTTTGGGATGCTTAAGTTCATCTAATAAATGACTTATCTCTTAAAAATGTTCCTTTTGAGCCTTACCAATGGAGAGATTTTAGTGCATTCTTTATTGTTTTCTTTTGTGACATAGCAAACTAACATGTGCATCTTTAGGATCATATTACTGTTTAATTTTTTGAAAATGGGTTAAGGAAATCTGTCCCCACAGTATCACTGAACAAATCTCAGAAGAACAAGTATTCAGATTACATAGAAGGTAGATCTACATTCACTTTTGGACTGTCATATGTGTATCTGGAGTCCAGTTTACATGCTGTGTAGGATGTTAAAGATATTCATGCTATAGGGCTGGGGTTGTGGCTCAGTGRTAGAGTGCTTGCCTAGCACATGTGAGGCACTGGGTTTGATCCCTAGCACCACATAAAAAAATACTAAATAAGGGCTGGAGTGGTGGCTCAGTAGTAGAGCACTTGCCTGGCTATGTGAGGCCCTGGGTACGATCCTTAGCACACATATAAATAAATTAATTAATTAAATAAAAGATCCATTTACAACTAAAAAATATTTTTTAAAAAAACTGAACAAAATAAAGGTATTGTGTTCATCTATAACTAAAAATATTTTTCAAAAAAATTATGCGTGGGGCTGGGGATGTGGCTCAAGCGGTAGCACGCTCGCCTGGCATGCGTGCGGCCAGGGTTCGATCCTCAGCACCACATACCAACAAAGATGTTGTGTCCGCCGAGAACTAAAAAATAAATATTAAAAAAATTCTC